GGGATTATTTTTCAGGGGTTGGGCTTGGCCCCTTAGTTCCAGTTACAGGAACTCTTAAGGCATCAGCATACCAAAACATTTTGGACAATTTCATGCTCCCAACTTTGTGGGAACAGTTTGGGGATGGCCCCCTCCTGTTCCCACATGACTGCGCACCAGTGCACAAAGCAAGTTCCATAAAGACATGGATGAGCCAGTTTGGGTGGAGGAACTTAACCCGATAGAACATCTTTGGGATGAATTAGAGCGGAGACTGCGAGACAGGCCTTCTCGTCCAACATCAGTACCTGACCTCACAAATGCACTTCTTGAAGAATGATAAAACATTCCCATAGACACACTCCTAAACCTTGTGGACGCCTTCCCAAAAGAGTTGAAGCGATTATAGAGGCAAAGGGTGGGCCAACTCAATATTGAACCCTACAGACTAAGACTGGGATGCCATTAAAGTTCATGTGGATGTAAAGGCAGGTGTCCCAATACTTTTGGCAATATAGTGCATGTCCTCCAAGGATAACTTTTCACTTAAAGTGCACTTTAAAAATTGGGAAAATGTTCATGTCTTTAATGCACGTATGTACACACATATAAACAAACCATTACCAACATTAACTGCGATTATAGATGATTTGTTCAAAAGAACTAGTGCCAACACAATTTAACTACACCACAAATACTGGGAGTCAGTGCTCACGGCAATACATTTGGATATAATCCTGGAGCATGGAAATGTACAATGTAGATTTAACATGTCCAAGAATTTATATAGTACTACTAAACATCATCACGACTGCCCAAAATAAACTAGCGACTTAAACAGAGACCATGCTCACCTTTCCGATACATGTTCAATTTGGGCATCCTTCCATGAGTGGCACTGTGCCGAAGGTTCACCACCCACTCAGGAATATTCAACTAAAGGAAAGGATAATACATTATCAGATACAACATATAGCTGCAACAGAACCAGTAATACACAACATAACCAATTTTGAACTCTTTAGGTAAAAAAACAAAAAAACAAACAAAAAAACAAAACACAAAAACAAAAAAGCAATGGGTTGCAGTACCTCCATTGTCACAGAAATTAGGATTAAAGGTGACCTGTGACAATGAGACTGTCACAGGTCGGCTCAGTAGATCGGGAGGTGAGCGAACATATGGGGAAAAGCCCTGACCCCATAGTTCTCCTTTAAACACAAATAGAAAATTAGTACCTCCTGCACAGTGCCGTTTCTTTATAAAGCTCAAAAATGACTCCATAGCCTGGATGGTTAGGATGTTATAACTGATGCTCAAAGTAAACAAATTATAAAACAAAAAACATGTTGACGGGAATTTATCACAACTGGTGCAGACAGAATCTGAAGCAGTTGCCCAGAGTAATCAGTTAGCTTTTCTGTTCAGTTAGGCTTCAAAAATGAAAGCCGATTGGTTGCCACAGGCAACTACTCCAGATTCTGTTTGCTCCAGTTTCGATATATTCCCCCAATTACAGTCTCCTTTTAAAAGGAAGAAAGGAAAAAGCTTAAACTTTAACAGACCATTTTCCCATTAATAATTCCCTACTTCCATAAAAAGTCTAAGGACACAGTACAGTGCAAAAGTTTGAGGAAAGTGAGGATGCTTTAAAAAAAAAAAAAAAATGCAATACAACAGTTGATCAATTATCAACCTACAAAAGTGCATAAACATAAAAAGCTAACTCAAATTGATATTTTGTGTGTTCACCCTTTGCCTTTAACATTTATGCTGCAAATTATGACCAAAGTCATACATCAGCAGGCCTCTGGAAAATTTTAGGCAGGTGTGCTGTAATGCAAGAATGATTTCACAAATAAAAGTGTTAGTTTATTTTTATAAATGAACAAACTGGAAAGTAAATGAACGGAAGAGAAATCCAAATCGAATCAATATTTGGTGTGACCACTCTTTGCCTTCTAGTTACACTTGCACACTGTTTTTGAAGGAACTCGGCAGGTAGGTTGTTCCAAACTTCTGTAGATGTCGGCTGCCTCAAATCCTTCTGTCTCTTCATCCCCTAAAGAAGCTACCAGCGAAATGTGTTGGGAAGCAAGCATACCAATGTTCAGAACAATTGATTTATGCATGAGGTGTTCTTGCTGAACACTGGATGATGCACGAATGTACAAAACTGGATATAATGATACAGTGGATGCGAGAGGTGTGACTTGGGGGGAATATGCAATTGTTTTTTTTATTGGTGTATCTCAAATAAAGCTTTACTATTTTAAGATGTTGTGAAGAATATATGTGCACTGAGGGCCCTCTGAAACCCCAAACTGCTTGAATATTTATATAATCCCAGACAGACTCTATGTTGAGATCAGGGCTCTGTGGGGGCCAAACCATCACTTTGAGGGCTCCTTGTTCTTCTTTACACTGAAGATAGTTCTTAATGACATTGGTTGTATGCTTGGGGTCATTGTCCAGCTGCAGAATACATTTGGGCCAATCACATGCCTCCCTGATGATATGGCATGATTGATAAGTATCCGCTTGTATGGCAGAAATGGAGCCCCAGACTTGCAAGTAACCTCAACCATGCTTCACTGCTTCACTTTACTCCAACATTATTGCGTAGTTCTACAAATGCTTTTACCAGGCTAGGCCAACTCTGCACATCCATGTTGCCAAGTTTGATTTCAAGCACAGGGCTTACAGTGGTACATTTGTCATTGTTGAGTTCCAGGGGTGGATCTAGCAAAGATTTTAAAGGAGATTTGCCGTGGCTCATCTGGAGCCACGTCTTTCTAGAAACATGTATACCAATGTTAGTGTACTAGTCTCTGTAGAGCCAGAAGAAGAGGGAGCCAGTGTGCCACCATTCTCCACCAGATGTGTCCAGCACATACAGATGTTCTCCCTTGAAAAATTTCAGGGTGGCGAAAGGTGGCTAGGGCAATATACCTTGATGGCCACCACCTCCTTAACATTTGAGTGGAGTAGGACTATCAGCACGTAAGGAGCTTGGTGATAACACTTTCACATCAGCACTGTTTGGGTCAGGAACATTGCTACTAAGGTTGATCAGTGTCTCCTCAGACTTGCAATGAGGCAAAACGGCATTAGCAGATCGAATCTTCTGAGCAGCCATCATGTCATGCGAGCCCTCCTCCCCACAAAGTAAATTTCTGCTACTAAGACATCTGTCTGTTCAACCAGCCAAAAGTGAAAGGCAGCTCTGTGTATGGCATGCTCCTCTGTCACCCCGGGTCACCGCAGCAGCATCGCTGCCCTCTACACAAGCTCAGTGCTCTGCCCTGGTAGCTTTCAGAGGAGGAGCAACGCGTGTCCAGCCCAGGGGGCAGGGCTTGTGTGGGGAGGTCACATTTTCTTTATATTAGAGCTGCAGCTAACGATTATTTTCAAAATCGATTAGTTAGCCGATTATTAAGTTCGATTAATCGGTTAATCGGATAAACAATAAAATACATTTTAAAAAATGGCTCCAGTGATGGACTACTAGTTTGTATTGAGATTGGAGTCCATCACAGGAGCAAGCTTGGAGCGGTGGAAGTAAAAAAGAAAAAAAATAGTGTGGTGTGCAATATAGTGAAATGGAAAGTGTAAAATTATACAGCAATGAATGGCATCGGCTATAGAGGACTACAAATCCCAGCAATAGTACATTATACAGCGCAATGCAGAATATCACCAGCTATAGAGGACTACAACAAATCCCAGCAATAGTACATTATAGCTGGCGGGATTCTGCATTGCGCTGTATAATGTACTGTTGCTGGATTTTGTAGTCCTCTATAGCTGGTGGTATTCTGCATTGCACCACTGTATAATGTATTACTGCTGGAATTTGTTGTACTCCTCTATAGCTGGTGGTATTCCGCATTGCGCTGTGTAATGCATTATTGCTGGGATTTGTAGTCCTCTATACAGCGCAGTGCAGAATATCACCAGCTATTTAGGAATACAACAAATGCCAGCAATACATTATACATACAGTGTACAATGTATTGCTGGGATGTGTATTCCCATGTATAATATACAGCACAATGTACCATCAGCTATCGAGGAATACAAATCCCACTATCCCAGCAATACATTATAGAGCACCATGTGGGGGGGAGTGCAGGCTTACCTGAGCAGTCTTCCAGCAACTTGCTTCTGAGATCGGACCTGTCTATTGGCGGCTGTCATCCCCCCACACCTGCTCCTCCTTACTACATCTCCCCGCGTCCCTTTGCCGATCGTGGATGTGGGTGGGCGGTGAGTGTGAGACGGGGAGGAGGTGCGGCGTGAAGAGCGTGGATGCTGGCGGGTCTGGCAGCGGCGAGTGAGGTGGGGAGGAGGTGCGGCACGCAGCGTGTGTGGAGTCGTGAATGGGACCAACTGATCGGAAGCCGATTAATCGATTATTGAAAAAGTTGACAACTTTTTCAATAATCGATTATAATCGATTATGTCGATTAGTTGTTGCAGCCCTACTTTATATAGAATATTTCACAAACATACAATCAATATCTGATGTAATTTAGGAATAACCTCACCTCATTAGCTAGACGCCTTAAAGGAATAGCCATTGTCTTCTGTTTTCTTTCTGTGATAATATTCACAAACCTGTAAACAGAAGTTTAAAAAAAAAAAGTAAAATCACAATTGCACAATATTTATTTTCCAGTATACAAAGCCTTTTTTACTTAAAGAGTATCTCCACTTTTAAAATAATAAAATATATGTATATTTTTTTGCATAAGCCATTTTGTAATTTAAAATTTAAAAAATGACCATTCTATTTAAAACTGTAGCCACTCTAATGTTCTAAATCTGTCAAATAAAATTCAATGCAATATGGCGACCTGAAGGCATTATGTACACAGCTGGTGTGCAGAACTCCCCCAGAAATGTCATCTCCTGCTTTGGTGATTGGCTGATTTTCCCAGACGTCTGTACTAAGATGCAAGTAACATTTTTGGCATCCCTTGCAATAGGAATTGAATTTGATGAGAAGGGTTAATCACTACTAAAGGGATGCATGCACGTCACCTTTCCCTATTACAAACACAGGAAGCCTACCAACTGATTATAATGAACCCAGAACCTCCCATTCAGGAATCAGTTAGGAAAGAACATGCTGCCACAAAAAAGCTATTTCTATCAGAATCAAAACAGGTAGGAAACTGCAACAAAGTTGGTTAAAAACCTTACAATATATATTGATCACCCAGAGAGGATCGATTTTTTTCCCCAACAAAAGTCGACTTACTCCTTAAAGCCCAACTCTAGCCAAGTTGCTTTCCCTCACAAGAAACGGGGGTACAGTTGGCACTGGAAAGGCACAGACCGCAATAAAAGCTGAAACCCTTCCTCACTCTACTAAAAACATTCTGAGAAAAAGAGAAGGGATATCTTTCAAAAACGGTAATAATAATCTGGCAGAAGCTATTGATCTTCTCAGCTCCATCCAAAGGGAAAGTTAAATTACTGGAATTGGGTTTAAATAAAAGTTAGTCAGAAAGTAATAAAATAAACTCAGAAAACACACAAAGAACACATTTGCAGAGTAAGTAAGCACAGATATACACAAGACCCTCAGGGGTGTGGAATTCCTATCGCCCGACGCCCGGGAAATGCAGTTTCGGGCACCGGGCGAGTAGTTTTTTTGTACACTTAGCTCTGCTTGTCCAGAGCGGGGCTAAGTGTACAGTGTGGAGCCGCCGCTCGTTTTCAAGTGATCTGATCACTTGTATGAAACGAGAGGCTGCGATGCTGTCCACAACGCCCCCACCCCCCCCCCGTGGTTTTCGGAACCACGGAACATGAGCTCACCATAGAGCAGACGAAAAACGGGAGGTTTTTCGTCTGCTCTGTGATATCACTGAGACAGGGTGCGCTGTGATCACAGCGCCACCTGTCTCAGCTGTCAGGAACTACACAGAACATCAGTTCTATGTTGGAGGACAGGTTCCATAAAAAGAACCTGTCACCTCCTATCACTTAGAGCAGGGGCGCCCACTATTTTCCGTCTGGAGATCTACTTTTCAAATGACGAGCTCATTGAGATCTACCAACGAAAAAATACCTGCATTCAGGGGCGGGAGGGTGCGTGGGCTGCGCAGGCAGGCCACTCGCCCACAGTGCGATCGCCTGCATTAGTGCCTGTGTTCCAGTCCAGTGCGATCCGCAAAAATGCTG